CTGCCTCACCTGGAAAGAGCGCAATGATAACACCAACATGGGCCAGTGAAGCAGCGTCCTCCACAACTAGACTGAAGAACAAAAGGACAGCAACGTGTCTGTTCCCCTCCCCCAACTCCCCAATAAAATCTTTAAAAAAATAAAAAGAAAGAAAAAGAAATACTATGACATTTCTCCTGAAGGTTTTATGGCACTTTTGATTGATACTTTCTTGTCTGGCAAATTCCTTAGTTTGCTCCACACTGCAACCTAAGAAGGTAGGAAGAGCAGACAACATTGTCATACCCATTTTATAATAAGGAGCCTGAGACTCGGGACAGTTAGGTGACTTGCCAGCTCCCACAGGGGCAGGTGTGAGTGCTGCTGGTCTGAGAACAACACGCTGAGTAGCAAAGCTTTATCCTTCACAAAGCTTCATCTTCCCAGGAGTGGGAAGATATTTAAATCATGCAGCTAAAAGTATGATTGTTAGATGAGGCTGCCGTGTTAAAATACAAACACATACGTTCCAAAAGATAGTTTCATAGAAAGTAATTATCTTTGGAAACTTATTCATATGTATCCTGTCTTTTTCAGAAAAGATTTAGCATTAATATTTTGGCTTATTTAAAAATAGTTCTAGTCACTGTAGAAAATTTGTCAGATTTCTCTACAGTCGTACTGGGTTTTGATTCAATACAGCATTATCCAGTGAATCACATACCTTCATCATCAGACTTCCCTGCAGATGCCACCCTCAAAGGCCCAAACTTTTGTCGTTCTTGATATTCCAGAGATCAAAGTAATGCAACTCCAAAAGAAGTTGAGTGCAGAGGCCCCATTAAGTAGAGCAGGTGTGTTACCCTCCAAAGGGGGCTACTTGAAGGGAAACGAAATTTTCTTGGATGTGCAAGTCCTGCTGTGTCCATTTTAAAAGGATATGCATAACTTTAAGCGCATTCCTAGTTGTTGATGGAAGTCTAGAATATCGACCAGTGTCTAATTCAAAAGAGCAATGAAGAATTTTAAGTATTCTTCTTAGTGTACAAGCACAGGATCATGTATTTTGAGAGGATTCAAACACGAATGCAAATATAAAACTGGCAGGCACAAGAATGATTATCACTTAATGGAACTAAATATTCTCTGAACACCTTTCCAGGTGTCAAATAAACAACAAAGATGTCGTCGTGTAGATGGAGGCAGGCTCCGAAGTAAAGATGAGATAATTCTTTAATGTCTTTGTTAAAAAGTGAGCCTGGGTTTACAGTCTATTGATTAGATTATATCATTCCCCCATGTTAAGCAGTAATGATCCAAGTCAATTCAACCATATAGAGTACAGTGAAGATCTTTGTAGAGAAAGGTTACGTTTCAGGTAAAACTGGTAGTGGGTGAATAGTGATCATATTCAACTCATCAGAGTACTCATCTGCAACTGCCTTCATCAGCAGAGCTAGTTGGATTCTTGTACCCTTGTCTTCTGGTTTCATTCCTAGCCCTTCCCCCATGCATCACCTCTCCAGTGCATTTTAAAGATTTTCTGTGTATTCTCAGCACAGCACCCAGAGTGATACTATTAAACTAAGTCATATCATGTCATTTGGCAGCTCAGAACCCTCTATGGTCTCACTTCATTCAAAATGAAAGCCCAAGTCCACTCAGTGGTCCGCAACGTCCTACAGTCTGCGCACGCACGCGCACGGGCACACACACACACCCCTACCTCCTCCAGTGCCATTGCCTCTCACTACTACTCTTCCTCCTTGCTCACCAGGCTCCAGCCACACTCCTTCTTACTGTTCCTTAATACACCAGGCACATGCTGACCTCAGTGCTTTTGCACCAGCTCTTCTTCCTGCCTGCAAACGTTCCTCCAAACATCCACATGTTTGGCTCCTTCACTCAAGTCCTTTAGATCTTTACTAAATGCTACCTTTTCAGTGAGGCATAAACTACCTTTCCGACACACAAACATGCCCTCATTCCCCTTCCTGGCTTTATTTTTTTTACCTTAATACACCTCTTTAACATACATTTTTTTACCTATTTGTCTTCTGTATTGTCTCTCCACAAAATGTCAGCAGAAATGTTGTCTGTTTTGTTACTGCCGTATTCCAAGCACCTACAACACCTAGCACATAGTAGGTACTCAGTAAATATTGAGTGAATAAGTGAGTGCATGAACTGCATCCCCCTTTCCTTAATACTGCTGCCTTAAGGTCACTTGAGTGACTTTTATATGGAGGTATTCCCAGCCTAGTTTTTGGGGGCAACTCCTATTTCTATAGGTTCAGATTCTATTCTTTATATTTACCCCTTGTCACTCTACCCAACTCTTCTAATTACTTCCAATATCTTGTTCTAATACACACACTCACACATATATTTGTATGTGTGTGTATATACAAAAATGTTTATAAAATTTTATCAAATCTCAATATCTCTATTGGTCCATAGAAATGATTACTACTTCTCCTCTTTTATTCGCTCCAGTCTGTTTTCATTTTTTAACTTTTTATTTTCTTGGAAAACTTCCCTGCCATCCTCCCCATGTAAGCCCATCCTCCACAGTAGATGACAAGCTTCTTGAAGTAGAAGGATCAAGCCTGATCCCCTCTCAGTGACTAATGCAATATGCTTACAGTCATGTAATGGTGCCCCTTGCATGGTTTATGAACTTAATATGCAGTTTTAAAAAATATTAATAGACTTATTCTTTAGAGCAGTTTTAGTTTCACAGCAAAACTGAGCACATACCTCCATACCGCACCCTCATACATACTGCCTCCCCAACCATCAACATTCCCCCACCAGAGTGGTATATTTCTTATAACCGATGAACCAATACTGACGCATCATTATCACCCAAAATTCAGAGTTTACATTAGGTTCACTCTTTGTTTTGTACATTCTGTGGGAGTTGACAAGCGTGTAATGACATGTATCCACTCTTACAGATGGATAGGATCATACAGAAGTTTCACGGCCCTAAAAATGCCTTGTGCTCCATGAGTTCATCCCTCTCTCCCTCCAGACTTCTGGCAAATACCAATCTTGTTTCTGTCGCCATAGTTTTGCCTTTAATAGAATGCCATATAGTTTGAATTGCACAGTATGAAGCCTTTTCAGATTGGCTTCTTTCACTTAGTAACAATGTGATGCAATTTTGAGTCTTCTTGGCCCTGCGAAGTTTGGTATCTTTGCCTTTCTTTGACTAAGGATAGTCACTAATGGATGAGAAAGGGGAACTGTCTGAGTTTCAGGGACACAGTCATGAACCGAATTAGTCTAAACAATGAAACACCTTAGGTGATATTTAAGAAATTAAGTGGATGTATTTCCTTGCTGCTATTTTCACTTCTCTTTAAGCTTGCCATGAAGTGGATGATTCATCCGTCGTTGGATTAAAGTATTTGCTTCTTGGTGCCATACACAAATGTCTAGGAAACTCAGAAGATGCTGTTCAGGTAAACTGTTAATGTTGGTGTCATGGCGAAGGAAAATNTGGCATTCCCATATGTCCCCCTGTTCTCCCAAAGCTCTAGGAACCCAGCACATGGGAAGTAGTTGTTGAATAAATGGAATAACGATCAGCAGGATGGTCTAGTCCTTGTGTAACAGTTTTTTAAAATATTTGCTCCCTGTTTTCCTTAGGTAACATTTCCAAGTACCATCAACCTAGGTAACCTTTAGTAGCATTTTCCCCCTAATGCTTAAGAACTACAATGATGATTTCTTACAGTTTGTCAGGGAGCCACTGGTGATGTGGATGGGGCACAGATTGTCTTTAAAGAAGTTCAGAAACTCTTCAAAAGGAAAAACAATCAGATTGAACAGTTCTCAGTGAAAAAGGTATGTTGAAGCCTACTGATCGGGAGTATTATTTATGATGGGCATTTTTAACCAACACTACCTTGCATAGATTTTAGGAAATCATATTCAAAGCTGGCAACTTACTTGCTGTGCAGAATGCAGTTTACCACTGTGGTAAGACGTTTACTCCCATGGTCCTACTTGTGCTCTGAAAGAAAGTGCTTATTTTGCTGCAAATCATTAAAACAGTTTGTTTGGGGTTTTGTTTGTTTTGTTTTGACTGAGTAGAAATATTACAGACTGTAGAGCTCATGAGCATATCTGCCGAGTGAAAGCATCTGTCTAAAGTTAGGAAGTTTCAGAAGAATACAAATAGGCAGACCCTAGGCAAGAGATACAGGCTGTTGGTTCTCAATATAATGAACACATCACATTTTGACCTAATAAAAAATAAAATAGTATGCATCAAATACATCAGCAGAAAGGCCCAGGGCTATAGGGACAATGTCCCCCAATTCTACACTTTTAAGAATAAAATGTAGCTGAATTACTGTGGGTTGGTTACATTACAACTTTTCATATCTTGAGTTTTCTGTGATTTTAATTTTATAAGTTTTATTGAATGAACACTTAATGACTTGGAATATAAACTAGATTGTAATGAGGAATGCCACTGAGAGCATTGTGACTCATGAGAAAAATAAAAATTCAATAAAGCCATAACTAAAAGGCATCTAGCATTACATCCTCCATATAAACCCAATGAGTTATTTGTCCCCCAGCTTTGATAAATTCCTTTTATTTAAACAGAAACAAAGCTAGATTCATTTCCAAATTTTCAGAATATACCCTGGATCTTGATAGTAGATTGATTTAAATAATGAATGGAAGTTGCATCTCCCCAGCATATTAAAAATTGGAAAGCAAAAATTTTTCATAGAGAAAAATGTTCATTTCTCGCTTTGGAGGAGGGGGTTGTTTGTGTGGAATATGAACTGAGCCTTTTTAAATGTCTCTGATGTATATTTTTTTATTTGAATTTGGTTTTTAAAAAATGGAGCCTAATCATTCTAACTACTTGTAGGCTGAGAGATTTCGGAAACAAACGCCGACCAGAGTGCTTTGCGTGCTGGCCTCCATCGAAGTGTTGTACTTGTGGAAAGCCCTTCCAAACTGTTCCTTCCCCAACCTACAGAGGATGAGCCAAGGTAAAAAATAACAAAACAAAACACAGAACCGTACACATCAGCTTGTTTCTTAGGTGCTGCAGTCTTCAGTTGCTCATTTTCTCATTCAGTGAGTACAAATCTGTCCTTCTTAGATAAATGGTGTAGTGTTTAAGGGAGCTCAGTCACTCAGGTGATAGGAACAAGAAGACCGGAATGTGTAGACATGCGTGCGTTGTTAGCAGTGTACGGTGATGCACACTGGCTGTAGATGTTACTAATTCTATAGCCACGAGGGGCACTGGAAGCATATTTTACCCCATAAAGCCACTGTGTTTCTTATAGGTTTGATGTATAGTCATTAACATGCACAGATGCTAAGGGTACGGTTCAGTGCGTTTCGACAAATGTATTCACCTTGGCATCCACACCACAATGAAGATGTAGAACATTTACACCACCCCGAAGACTTCCCTTGTGCCCCTTCTCAGTCCACACCCCAATGCAACCACTGTTCTGATTTCTCTCTCCACAGGCTACTTTTGCCTGTCTTTGAAGTTAATATAAGTGGGAACAGACAGTGTGTGCTTTTTAGTCCTTGGCTTCTTTTATTACTACCTGTGAGATGGATCTACATTGTAGCCTGTGTCAGTTTGTTCCTTTTATTTGTTGAGCGGTACTCCATCGTATTGTTCTGCCTGTACCACAGCTTGTTTATTCAATCCCCTGTTAATAGGCATTTGGTTTGTCTGTGATCTTTTAGCTGTCATGGGTAAATCTGCTGCAAACATAAGTGTGCTGCATAAGTGTGCTAGTCTTCTGTATGGACATTACATGCTCATTTCTCATGAGTCAGTACCTACCAGTGTAATTAGAAGCCTACATATATTGACTCATTAGATTTACATAAGACCATAGGTTATGGCACTATAAGCTTTATAAAGTCATTTTTATTACTGTTGTAGG